CCTCACCCATTCTTTGACTTGGTTCCTTATTGTGCTTTTCGGCAGGTTCTGGTCATGTAAAGGGTATGGACGATCCTTGCCATGCAGCTCATCCGCCCTTTCATTTCCCGCGTTACCAGGTTTAACTCAAGATACTGTGATATTAATCGTCCACTTCTTTTGGCGCAGTTCAATCGGTTGAACACGACGTCGGATACCATAGCTTGCAAATGGAATGTTCGGGTAGGTTGAGTGTCTATGTCAGCGTTTAGATCCTGTTACCGCTCCGCTGGTCACATGGCATTAAATGACAAATTCGCTTTCTTTAAAAATAATCTGTTCACCTGTTTACGAATCTGTAACCAAGCATGCTGATACTGTAAAGTCTATATAAACAAGCCTACTGATCTTTTTTGTGTGAATATAATTTGAACATGGGTTTTCCCTTACTGTACCTGATATTATTTCATCAGAATTCATATTCGTTTGGAACAATCAGAGTTGTTGCCAGTTGGCTCAATAATAACTAGCCGTTATGAAATTCCTCATTATTGGTTCATTTAATGGATCAAATCATTCTACCCCTAGTTGATATATAAAATATGCTCATTGAATAATCCGCTGACTTAATACAACTCCAACCTTTTTAAATTGTAGAGTAAATAAATATCCTGAATCAGAGCAATAATTCATTAACACTTTTTGAAGATTGTCAAAGCGAAAGATGGGTAGCAAAACTCCTAATGGTGAAGAGATCGTCTTTGATCCCCACAGTTAGCCATTCAGCAGTCACGGTATCAAAGGAGAAGACAACACCCTCCACAAGGATTGGCGGTGAAATTCCTGCGGCCTTAGCAATCCGTCTCCGCCCATAAAGGAAGCTTTTTAAAGCCGCTACAACGCACACAGAAATTGCAGGCCAATACCCAAAAAAACCACACGATCATCCAGATGCGATCTTGCCACTCTGCTACAGAATCAATTTTCTTCCTGTCACATCTTCTCAGAGGTGTACTTCACAGACTATGTCAGCATGCTGCAACCAACAAGGCATGCTCGTTGAGCACGTCGTTGTGTCATTCCTCCATAGGTGGCTCTGAACTGACTTATGCAAAAAAATACATTTTGATTGATTGATTAGTCACGATACTACAGTGTCTACCCACCTTTGCTTTGTAGCTCCAGCGTAGAAGATTCATGCACTGCTGGGCTAAACTTGCAACTACTCTGGTTAAAACGTGTACGTTGTTTAATTTTAATGATATGTAAAATGATATTAAATGTGTAATGTCGATAGGATCGTTGGTGTGCACCTTCCCAATAAAGTGATTCGCTATTAATACAAATTAGCAAACGGTCTTTGATGCCAATAAGTGTAGCTCAAACTTTCTATATGATGTATATTTCTATATGGTTATGTGTATGTATTATGTTGAGACTGGAGTTTGACGGAAATAGTTGCATCCCGCTTCAATGCAGAAAATTTTTAGCCAGTTGCCACTTGAACTGAACATTGATGGTAACACCGAGTTAACATCGTATTCATATGCATATTCTGTATGTTTTTTCGGCCTTTGTAACCATATATGATAAATTCAAGAAATAATTCATTGCAAAACTGATTTTCAACCGAATACATAAGGCTTAAGCTAGGGTATTGCTTAACGTACAAGGTCAAATTACAGACAATCTATTCAAAGGTACAGGAAGAGTCATTCGGTACAAGCATTTCATTTTGGTTCAAAAAATGCCGCGAAACAGTTCAAGCAAGTCGATCCGTTTATAAATGAAATGATTTTTCGCGTCTCAGCCTGTACGTCAAAATTACGAACGCAATAAAAATCTAAAAAATATGCAGTACTCAATAGGTATTTACCAGTTTTATATATCGTATGTGTTGATAGATTTAAAGATGTTTTTTGTTTGACTATTTATATGAAAATATTTGTTGTTAACTTCTGTCCAAGACATTTCCAAGAGTATGTTCAAAAAGTGTATATGTATATACCTGTATTATTGTATGCACAATAAAATATGGCGTTGTAAGCTGGCATTGTTTTATTCAACATCGAAATAATATACAGGGTGTGGCAAAGGTATCGGAACGGCTCGATCACTCTGGGAATACATTGTAGGAGTAAATGCTACAAATAAAAGTTGTACGAACTATCGATGCCCTTAGATTTTGACCTTGAAGGTTATTTGAAGGTTAACTTTGAACTCTCAACAACGTAAACGAGGAGAAAATTTTACGTTAAAATACGACCTTGTATGACCCTTATATTTGACCTTGAATGTATTAAAATTGTTTATTGGTGAATCATCTAGACGTCAAGTATAGAATTAAAAGATATGAGAGTTTGGAAAAAATTGCACTCTCAAGGTCAAACTACAAGTATGTAGCCCTAGTTGGCCGGAACTACTATCCTTACCTTCGTTGTCAGGGGGTTATTCAAGGTCAAATGTGAGGGGTATTCAAGGTCAAATCTGAACATACAGTTTATTGCTCGTTCCACTGCAGGGCCAAAAATAAGAGTTTACATTCGATATTTTGAAGTTAACCTTCAAATGACTTTCAGGGTCAAGGTCAAGGTGGAATTTAAGATTTCCTTCTGATAACTAGGGAAAATTCTACAACTTTTATTTGAAGCATTTCCCAAAAATGCATCACCGGAGAGTTATTGATATCCAGTATTAATGATATTTTGACCTTGAGTCAAGGTCAAATACGTTTCAACGTAAATTTTTTTGTCGAGGAACGTAAGATTTTCCGATCGTTTCATTGCCGTGGTCAGAAGTAGGAGTTTACACTTAAAGTTTTGACGGTGACCTTCAAACGACCTTTAAGGTCAAGATAGAATCCAAGTTTAGCTTCTGATAGCTGAGGGGAAATGTTACAACTTTTATTTGAAGCATTTCCCCCAAAATGCGTTACCGAAGAGTTATTGATATCCAGTATCAGCGGTAGTTTTATGATGGTCATTCAAGGTCATGTTTGAACGTAGAATTTTTCGCTCGTTTCATTACCGAAATCAAAAGTATGTGCTTATATGTGAAATTTCAAAGTCGACCTTTAAATAACCTAGAAGGTTAAAATAAAGGTCGAATCCAAGATCACCGGCCGATAGTAGACGGAAAATCCTATATTATTTATTTGAGGCATATTCTCCTAAAATGCATCCCCGAAGAGTTATTGATATCCCATTTTAATGGTAGTTTGACCTTGAGATATCACTCAAGGTCAAATATGAGGGTCATTCAAGGTTATGTTTGAACATAAAATGTTCTGATCGTTTCATTGCCGGGGTCAAATGACCTTCAAGGTCAAGATAGAATCCAAGTTTAGCTATTAGCTCAGGGAAAATCTTACAACTTTTATTTGAAGCATTTTCCCCAAAATGCGCTCCCGAAGAGTTATTGATATCCAGTATCAGTGGTAGTTTGACTTTGGAGGATCACTAAAGGTCAAATATGATGGTCAATCAAGGTCATTTTTGAACGAGAATTTTTCGCTCGTTTCATTACCGGATCAAAAGTTAGGGTTTACATTTGAAATTTTGAAGTCGACCTTCAAATAATCAAGGTTAAATACAAGATCACCGACCGATAAATCCTATACCTTTTATTTGAAGCATTTTCTCATAAAATGTATTCTCAAAGAGTTATTGTATAATCCTTCTTGCAACCCTAATAGGAGTAGATAATTGTTAGTTGGGTGGGTCCCGGATTCGTTCTCAGCGACTCAAAAAACGTATCTTAAGAACGGTTGAGTTCACGCTCCTGACTGACCTAATTTGTAGTATAAGCATGTATTACGTTTGGGTCGCTAAACTGAAATCCCAGTGTCATTTCACATGTAACTGATCACGTTTAACATGCACATTCTGTTACAAATATTTTATTCTGTGAATACATGCAAAACTAGCATCATGCCATTACTTAAGAGATACCCAAAGCTAGCTTCGACAACACAACATACTTTTGCCAATACTTTTATGACATACGTTGTGTTTATATTAACCTTTTGTCTTGTCGGTTCATTTGGCAACGTTGTCCTTTTCCACATCCGCGCGGCATCGCTGCAGTGAGTTGTTGATTTCGTGCGTGGTTTAGGTATATCCCAGACCATATCAGGCAATAAAAAATAAATTTTACCATTCAGAAAATAAATATATATATATATATATATATATATATATATATATATATATATATATATTTTTATTCACATTCCTTGAATAAAGTTATACTTCGAAGTTGAGTCATTTATTTTAACAGTGAGTAGATCTGATCAAAAGAAATGTTTTTTTCCTTTACCATTTTTCTGGTAAAATTAAAGTAACAAAGTTATAGCCCTCTGGAAGTTTGAGTACCGCCCTGTTCAATAATACTCGTAATATCATGTGCTCGTGTTTGGCAACAACGGATATAATCCGCCTCGGTTCATCGCATCGGAAACAAAAAAGCGAAAGAATTTGGAACGATGTTTTACAATTATTTTCTTCAGTTCAGTTATACATAGTCTGTGTCAGTCGGTAAGGCGTGTGAATAGTGTCTGTTGCGTGGCTCAAACGAAATAAAAAATGGCACATGTTTATGCGGATCGGTCTCCCAATCGAGTGCAACCAACCCCTCGTGCCTTTGTTAATGTAGTACAACGGGCTCGTGAATCAAGTGACTTAAGACCTCACAGGGGACCTCACGATCAAATACAGGTCCGCACTGAAATACTTGTCGGGAGGATACTTTATAAAACAAGGTAAAAAAATTTTTTATTTTTTTTTTTATTTTTACACACATATTTTGGTTTATCTTCCTTCTACAATCATTATCTGAAAATTAATGACTCAACTTCAAAGTCACCCTGTATATATATTCAAGGAATGTGAACGAAAATAAACGGGTATCCGTCTCACGGACGTCTGTCGGTTCCCCTAGATTATCAATACAACTAAATACACGCCAATTACACCTTTGATAAACGATAAGCGCTATATTAAGCATCTACAAACTCACACTTACATACAGCAATTGACTGTTCCGTCTGGTTTTGGGGCTATATTGGATTTTGACCATCTTCCTCATACGTGGTTTGTTTTGCAGCAGCCACGACTTCTTCCACCTCTTCCACACTATCTGATTCCTCGCTCCGTTTGTTTTTCAGCTTTTTAAATCTTCCACTGTGCAAAGGTCTAGTCAATCCAATCGACAAATTAAGTTCGGTCTTACAGAATCGCAACCATGATTGGCAAGTCGGGCAAGATAGTAGAAAAAGGACAGGAACGTCTATGCCCGCCCTAACAGAAAGTGAGGTCAAAAGCAGTGAAATAAGGAAGTGTTAAAAAACCGTCAAAAGTCGTCCATCGTCGCGCGGAGTTGCCATATTGTGGGACTTTCCCCTAATTTCGAGAGATATTTGCTTTTCTTGGTGAATTAGTGGGGAATTTAATGATCTGAGTGATTTGCTGGGGAGAAATGAAATAGTTGGATGTTGTCGAGGTATTCAAGGCGAACTCCTAATGACGATTCATAATTTCAATTTTTTTGAATGGAAAGGTCGCTGGTGCCTTTGAGTTTTATGTCACGTGAGCCATTTTCCACTGATTAGGCACATACTGTTCAAAATTTCATCTAATTTTCAGTAAATATTGGAATACTTCTTATAAAACAGGCCATATACATTAGTGACTTATTTTCCCAATATCATTTTTTTTATTATATATTTGTTCCAAAAAAGTACAATTTGGCGACAACGGACAGCATTTGTCTTATCTTGCCAAGAAATGAACGTTTAAAATGACCCTTGAGAATCGTTTGTTTTTCAAACATTACCTATAAACGCAAAATCTTTGATATTATTGAAAATGTGCGAAAAAATGAATAAGGAATTTCAAGCAAACATTGAAAATCACAACACAACACATCTACACAGTTGAACAACTAAATACCATCATTTACGGAATGTATTTTGAACTGTTATTTTTGCTTATTACACGGCCAGTTTTTGCAAAAAACAACGATTTTTTATAGTTTCACATATACTTTTCTTAAAAAATGATCATTTCTACCGATTTCTTTCCCGAAAAAAAAAAACAGGGATTTCGGACTTTCAAGTGTAATCTTGCCTTTTATATCTGATGTCATAAAGTTATGTATCACAAGTTACGCGGGTAGTAAGCCTCCCCTACTCTTTAGGCCCGTATCGTCAGTCGTCCCTACAATTGTAGGGCGTCTTTATGGCCTCCTTGATTGTCATAGTTTTCTACTTCTCCGTGTCAGCGCTCTATTTTGAGGTTATGTCACAAACATCTATTTGCATCAAATTATGCTTGCTTTTGAGTTATATCATGTTTTATCAGCCTGAAATTTCCTACAATTTAAAAAGAAAACATATCTTCACAATAGGAGAGCGCTGACGCTGACACGGGTCAAGTGTGATCTAGAAATTTTTGAAGGAGTGAAAGGAGTATGACAATCAAGGAGGCCATAAACGCGCCCTACAATTGTAGGGACGACTGACGATACGGGCCTAAAACCTAACCCAGCACTAAAGAAGGGTGACTGGGCATTTCTTTACAAAGGTTGCAACTATGGGGGAATTCTGCCTGGTTCATCTGGCAACCATGGAGAATAGTCGTTTTCTTGAAGGTAGAAGGTGACGTGGGGTATGGCGGCGTGGCTTCAAGTTTGTGCGATTCCGGCTTGTTCCTGCATTTTGTGCTAGATTTTGAAGTTATTTATTCATTTTGTGTTTCAATAGGAAGTTGGTGTTTGGTGAGTTACATAAATTATCGATTATATTACATAAGCTCCAGTTCAGATGATTTTGGGACGTATTGTTCACCTTTCATATCTAAATTCGGATGACGCCCATGAAGTAAGCATTTGAAAACTACCTACATTCGTTTAGAATTTACTAGTGCTCTGCATTTGCTTGTTGTTTTACGGGTAATGGTACACTCAACATAACCACATGTTTAGGGTTTATGGAAATTTGATTTTCCAAAACATTTTCCAGCAATAGTCAAAAGTACCACAAAACAATTAATGCCGGATAATAAACCACAGGATATCAAATTTCGATCACAAGATGGATGCACATTTCTACTGCGCTGTATTCTGTTTTCGCTCCATTTGATCTATCTATGTTGTTTTAGAAGAAAGACTGTTTAAGTTACTGGTTTTATTTGTTGTCTTTGATTATCGTTTATGTTATTTCAGAAAATATTGTTTTTGTTAAATTTACACAATTGAATCGGCGAGTCCAAGGACAGTACTGCCGTCATAAGCCAGAAGATATATGTGTTTGCATACTCTATGCAACTATAATAGAAATAATATACAATAGTAATATTAAGTAATGGATGTTCTATTTTCTATTAAAGCATAGCATTATACTGAACATAAGGATCTGGCCAGTTGGTCATCGACCAGTGCCAATAACAGAACAAAAAAAAAAAAAGATAGTATCTGCTATTTTCGCATTTTACAGGAGCGATGAGAACGTGTTGTAAACCTTCTCAAATTGTAAAGTTTTAAGTAAGAAGGATGTTTTTGGTTTGTACCTGGTTAAACTTGATCATATTTTCTAACGAATTCATTAATTTTGATGATTATGCCTATTTTTAAATAAAAATAGCATATACAGTGAAAGCTCCCATAAGCGGACACTCACGGTTCCGTAACTTTTGTCCGCTTATGGGAGGTGTCCGTTTAAAAGAGAGTATGTAAGTATAGAGTATAAATAACGGGGTATATAATCATGAGGAAATGAGGTATTATAATCATGAGAAAAATGAAACAGAAACTCGCCACATTTTTAAAGTATGTATTTATGCTATATATCTATATAATATATGTACATACATATACGCATACAAAAACATAAATGCTTCAATACATGGTACGAGAATTTAAAAAAAACATTATTCTTTAGCTTGTTGAAAAAAGTTTAAAATGTTTGTCTGACGAAATTTCACCATCTTTTGCCGAAGGAGACAATTTTCGTAATGACTTTCTAAATTTTTCAAATGTTGAAATGTAGTGAAATCATCTTTAGCACATTTTTTCAATATAGAAATATGATTTAGAGCTTCCCCATATGAATTTATCGTTTTTGAACCGCTTAGTGAGTCCACCAGTTCCACTTCTTCTTCTGAGTCGTTTGGACTACCATATTCAAGTTGGCCTGGGCTTTCTACATCCAAATTCGAAAAGTTGCCAATGGCATTTTCTTCTGTTGTTATGTTATTGTCTATGGCCAGGAAATCATCTACTTTCTGGGGATCTGCTACTCCTAAATGTTTGGCATGTCGCAGTAACTGAGCAAGTGTCGCTAAGGGCAGATCGTCTTCAGCATCGCAATAATTTTGCTCAGCAAATTCTTAGCTACATTCACTTTTTCTGAATCCAGCTTTGCCAAAACAGTTTTTAATTGTAGAGGAATTTACTTTATTCCATGCTGTTTTTATAAAATACAAAGCTTCTAACACATTGATAGACTTTGTAAGCTCAGATAAGCTTTGACCATCGTCAATTTTTGTTAAAATATGTTTTAAAATCAAGTGCCGATAATAAAATTTAAAGTTCTGTATGACACCTTGATCCATGGGCTGACAAACAGAAGTTGTGTTTGGCAGTAAAAATATAATTTTCATTTTCATATCACGAGGATGAGAGCATGCATTGTCTAAAAATGAAAGAACTTGCCTTTTTTGGATTTTCATTTTCCGGTCGAATTCGACTAACCACTCAGACATGATTTCTCGGGTCATCCATGCCTTTTTGTTGGATTTCGCTGGTAGATCCTTAATAGCAACGTTTTTTAAAGCACGGGGACGAGCCGCTTTCCCGATCACAATCAAATCGCATTTTTCACTGGCCATATTTCCACAGAATAAAATGGTTAGTCTATCGTCAGACAACTTTCCACCCACACATGTTTCTCCTTTAAAGGACAGAGTTTTGTCGGGCAATGCGCGAAAAAAAAGTCCACTCTCATCTGCGTTGTACACATCTTTTGGTTTGTAGCCAAGCAACATGGACGGAAGTTTCTCCAAAAATTGTGACACATCAACTTGATCTACTGCAGCAGCTTCGCCAGATATGCATTTGAAACTCACACTATGTCTCTTGCGCCACTTTTGCAGCCACCCGTCGGACACACTGAAATTATTATAGCCCAAAGTAGTGGCGATTTCTTTAGCTTTCATTTTCACTAACGGCCCTGAGATTGGAATGTTCTGACTTCTAGCTTTCACAAACCACTCAAAACATGTTTTGTCTATAGCAAAACCTTCCTTTTTTAAAAAATCCTTCTTTTGATTTATATTAGTTCCTGATTGCCATTTACTCCTGATATCTTCCTTATTTTTGGCAATTTCAGCTGCTTGCGTTTTCCCAATATTAAACCTCTTTACCAAATGACGAACTGAAACACTTTCTCTGTCTAATACGTTAACAACTTCCATCTTTTCCTTTAACGAGAGCATCCTTTTTTTTTGGTGCCATTTTACAGTTACAATAATAAAATACGTAACTCAATCAACTACGAATTTGCCTGAACTGAAGACAAGCCACAAGATTACACAGGCTACCCAACGAAATGCGTAAATGGGGAATCACCTAATATAAATCGGGGAATTACCGATTTTTATGTATGTAGATATGTGCATTGCAATAAGCGGAACTAAAAAATCGTCCGGGTATTACAGTTTCGCGTCCGCTTATGGGAGATTTTTTGATCACATACAGGTAAATCTAGTGTCCGCGTCCGTTTATAAGAGCGTCCGTTTATCGGAATGCATTTAACATTGAAAATTGATGGCTGAAATTCGGTTCCAGGAACTTTGTCCGGTTAAAAGAGATGTCCGCTTATAGGAGCTGTCCGCAAGGAGAGCTTTCACTGTACTGTTATTTCAGAACTGTCAGAGCTGTTATCTTTTTAACCCTTAGAGGCACAACCAAATACTATTATTATGTACCTATGCTGCACATAAAAAATAAACTCGAGTTTTATATTACAAAATATGACTCGAAACGATTTTTTAAACTTAATCCTAGGCTCAGTAAAGTGGAGGGGGGGGGGGGGGGGTGGTATCAATGATGTACCACTGTGCCTCAAATTTTGTAGCTCTACGCCTGAAAGTTATTTTCACTTTAAGTGAAAAATATTTATCTTCTTAAAGTTCTTACCTTTTGATGATATTGTTGGAAGCATGTTCTGGACTTTGACAAACACAAAGGTACCTTGCACCCTGAACAGGACCACTCTGTCTGTATCTGCATCTGCTTAGTGCTACGTACTGCACAATGCCTTTCGGTGCTTCTTTCTTCCAATCTAATATCCGAGGATACAGTTGACTTGTGTTTTTTAATGCATAGCGGTGAACTATCCCTAGTGGTTTTAAGGTCTACCAGTTTCTCAGCAACTAGTCCACAGCCCTTCTAAAATCTTTGTGAGATATCTGTTGCCGATTTAATTTATAAAGTATCTATGAGTTGACTACACAAATATCAATGAAATGGAAGAATATACGATGCCACCATTTATGACTTCTTCGATCTAGTCCAAAGTTAGATTTAAGTTGGTCCAATTTATCCACAAATCCCATATTCATATTGTAGTCCAATAAAATACGGGGACAATTTACATCTTCGATTTGCCCATTTCGTGATTTCCTCCTCACGATTGAGAAAATTCGAGGATCGTGATAGTTTGATAACAGATGTACACATCTTTTGTCTTTCCACTTGAAAATTGACAAACCAGTGTCACTTATTTTCCAGTTGGTGTCCCCACGTTTCAGTTCCTTATCCGCTTTCATCACTGGAATATTTTTCCTATTGAAAAGTACTGTACCACATGTCCAGATTGTCATTTTTTAAATGTAAAAGTAGTTTGTAGGAACAGAAATAATTGTCTGTAAATCGACGATGATTTTTATGTTCTAAGCCTCTCATTAAGTCTTTGACCACTCTTTGTCCTAAATTTATTTCCGTTTTATCTCCCACCTTTCCGGTATAAATCTGAAACCTGTACAAATAGCCGGACTGATCGGCGAGACTCCAGACTTTGTAGCCCCTTTTTATAGGCTTTTTTGGTAAATGTTGCTTGATAGAACTCGTACCTTTAAATCTAATCATAGACTCATCTATGGCTAGCTTTTCTTGCGGTTCAGAACATCTTTCAAAATTTTCAGAAAGCCTATTCAAAAAAGGGCGAACCTTATATAGTTTATCATAGTTTGGCTCATTTCTACCAGGCATAAGACTATTGTTATTTAGATGTACAGCCTTGGCCAAAAGTATTGAGCACGCTCGATATCTTTAAATTCTAGGGGACCATTAAGTTGGGAGAAATTCACACAATTTTTTCTAGCTTTATATCGCTTAGTATTGAAAGAAAATCAATATTTTGTGGTACCACCCTTCGCCTTAATCACGGCAGAAATTCTTTTAGGTAAAGATCGTACAAGTTTATTACATTCTTCGTAAGTTAAAGCGTTCCATTCCTCACGTAGACGGCGCTTCAGGTCTTCTTTATTCTTGAATGTATGACGCCTGATCTTGCGCTTCAATAAGCCCCACAAATGTTCAATCGGGTTCAAGTCTGGTCACTGGGCTGGCCAATCCAGAAGCTCGATGCAGTTTTCTCTGAACCAAGCCATTGTCCGTGCAGCTTTATGGCAAGGCGCATTGTCCTGCTGAAATTTGACGCCATTCATGTTGGTATCGCCATAAAGTGCAGTAAACGACGGCAAAAGAGCATTTTCGAGTACGTTTATGTACTTTGTGGCATCCATGCGACCCTCACACACGAACATTTCTCCCACTCCTGAAGCACTCATGCAGCCCCAGACCATTACGCTACCGCCACCATGTTTCAAAGTAGGCACCACACACTCCTGATTGAATTCTTCTCCTACTCGACGACGAACAAATGTCACACCAGGTGTACCAAAAATCTGAAAAATGAAGAAATGTCATTAAGTAGTTGCTTAGTTGAATATTTTCTTCTTGTCATTTTGTTTCAAAAATTATTGTTACACCTCGTTACTGCATCAAATTAACCAACGTACCTCAAAGTTTGATTCGTCTGACCATACAATATTTGACCAATCCTCTTCAGTGAAGCTTTTGTATTTTAAAGCCCATTTATATCGAGCCTTTTTGTTTTTGTCTAGCTTTGCGGCCATTTAGACCAACTTCTTGAAGCCTTCGGCGAACAGTTCGAGTAGAAATCGGTCTATTAATTTGCTCTGATAGTTCGGCAGCGAGGACCAAAGAAGTTTTTTCCGATTTTTCAAAGATTCTCTCGTCAATATTCGGTCTTCGCGATCTGTAGTGATCCGTTTGCGGCCAGATCTAGGCCTATCTTTATGTGAACTGGTCTGAGAGAATCGCTGGATAGTGTATTGTACACATCGACGCGAGCACTTCACTGTTTTTGCAATGTCTACTTGGGACTTCCCTTGTTCATGGAGAACCTGTATTTCCGCACGTTTTTCAATGCTCAGTTCATTCGTTTTTGCCATATTACAAGAGTTGAACTCAGATTCTCGAAATAAAATCATCAATATTGCACTAAATCACTTGACTGTTAACAATGAGCGATAGCATCAAACTGATGAACACGCACTAAAAAGGTAAAACTGACTAGTCTCCAAAAAACTACGTGTTTTAACGACAGTAAGGAGATAAGAAATTATTTACAAACCGGTTTTGATACCTACAAATATTTGTATAACCATTAGTTTTTCTTTTCGTCTATCATTATAGCGTACGTGAAATATTTTCGGGGTGCTCAATACTTCTGGCCAAGGCAGTATATGGCTGAGTAGCCATCCAAAGCGGTTTACATTTCAAAAGCGTAATTTCAAAACTTTTGGAAGTTTTCAACATTTTATTACTTATTATGAACTATTGGAATGTCTGCTATGCGAAGATAACAAAAAACTCAAAATCAAGCATGCAGTTTTTTTGTATTTCAATTTTATGGGTATTAAATTTTGAACTTTTCTAGGACACTCGCGCTGATTCTCAACATCAGAATATTCTTTTGCCATTATAGCCAATTTCTTGCCTCTATACATTGTGTCTCTAGGCAGGTGCTCTAAAAGAAGTGTTTTATAAGTGATCATCAAAAACATATGTTGAACTTGCTCGAACATTACCTGATTTAAGCACTTGAAAAGTTAATCGTAAGATGCATTAACAATCTTTACACACCCACGCTCTACCGAATCTAAACGGCGACTGGTCAGGTTCAGGGGAATCACAGGTCCAGACGTGCAAATCGAATTGGCGGCAACTGGCAGCCATCATTGGCGCTTTGGTCATAAATTAAATCACAGTATCTGTATGGTTTCTAAGCAAGAGTACAGTAAGTACGTGTCATTTACTGTGTTTTGTTTTATTGTTGTGCAGATACTGTGTTCTTTTTTAAGATGATCGTAAAAATGCTAGATACTGTAAAATAAAAATTCAGATTTTCGGTATTTTCCGTGACATAAACTGTGGTTTATCATCAAAATAAGCTTCTTCTGGGTGCCGTTCATATGATAATGACCATACCTCATTTTCGCATTTTTTGCACTTACTGCGTTCTGGCTTATGACGGCAGTACAGTTATTTGAACACTAACATCCGGATTTTGATTGAGTAAAATAAAAATAATATCAGAATAAGTGGAAGAATAGCCGACTGCTAAAGTTCGTCCTAAATAAAGACCAGTTATTATTATTATAATAATAATAGGAATTATTAAATTCAAGGATCAAAAAATTATTGGACACAAAAAAAAAAACAAACAGATAAATAAGTTTTACAAAATTTATTAGCAGCTATTACTTAGTTCTATCATTTGCCTGAAAATATTGTGGTGTGGAGTTAACCTATTTCTAGACTAATTAGGACTCATTTCTGGATAAGATGAACTTGTAAACGTCATTTTGCAGAAATTATATTTTTTCAGGATTTCAAGTCTAGCAAGTACCGCAAATGTTTAATGGTATTAATAATCGGGGATTGAGGGATTGTGCAGGAACATTGTCAAGCAACCATTCCTTTATTTTACTAACAGTCTGCTTAGTATCATTACCCTGATGAAAGCTAAATGCCTCTGATCCCCATCTCTTTAGCACTACTGTTCCAAGCTTACGCAAAATGGCAACATAGTTTTCAGCTGCATTGCCAGTTCGTTAATATAACATTATTATGAGTAGGTGCACTAGATTGGATCCCAGCTAAGCTTCATCGAAGGCATGACTGCAGATCTAAATTGAAGCAATTTTTTGCAGAAGATATTTAGTGAAATTGAAAATTACAATGACTGTCGAATTTCAGCAAGACCTGAATCGGTTGAGTAAATGGTGTGTTGGCAACAAACTAAATATAAACATAGCGAAATATAAAATTTTGAGCTTTGCCAGCAACCTTAATCCTATCCTCCAATCTAGAGAGATGTGTCAGACATTAATTGTTCTAGTGGTAATATTTTACAGTGAAATGACTTTGACCACATAAGTAAAATGGTATCTTCAACAAACAAAATATTAGGATACAATTTTGTGGTGCCAATGAGATCAATTCGTTCTAGTGCAACTTTTTACAGAGCTAGAGATAGAACCCACATATCGGAAATGTCTCCTGTTAAAACGATGTGTGATGGTTTGACACTTATTGTCCAGGATGCGATATCAGTAACGAGACAATTTAGGTGATTTAAGAAGTTTTAAGCAAACATATGTGATGCTTAACCGGTAACACAGCCGACGTCAACTACGAGCCGTGATCAAAGAAAGGCAACACCGCGCTCGGACGGCATGGTAGTGCTACCTGTGAACGTCGGCCGCCAGCGGCTGTGTGCTCCGTCTCCGTGTAACGTTCAAGAACTAAATTTAATTTTGGAAAAGCTCTAAAAAATTTAAAAATACGAAATAATCGTGATATATATGAGCCGCTAATGCAGTTAACCTAATTAAAAGTATTTAGTTTACGTTTTTTGGTGTCGGCACACTGTGTTCCAACAGGCCCAGCTTGGAAATGTGGAGTTACCTGTTTGTTTTTAATACATTTACTTTCAGTTTTACTGTTATTTTTCAATTTTACATAATCATTCAAAATTATGTTTGAAAAAATAGACAAAAGCTTAGATAAAATATCTGCATAATTGCGGCCACAGATGAAAGTTAAAGAAAATTCACTACATATAAAGTCAGACTGAATGCTGAGCAAGGTTAACTGACACAAAATAAATTTTTGATTATTGCTTTTCAAGAAGAAATTTTCCAATCTATCTACATTAATAATAGATTCAAAAATGGCATACATATGGTAGAATATGATTGGTACATAACTGGTTGGAATTGACAGTCCTCCTCTTTGCAAATGATCAAAATAAACATTTGACAATGAACCTTTTTCTTTAACTATTAGCGATTTGCATATCTCGCAGTTTAGGTTTTTAGAGATAGCGTGTGAAGCATATTCAGATATATAAGTCTTAGTACTATCCTCTATGTCACAATTGGCTAAGTAATTTGTCTCAAATACTTCATTGAATATATCCAAAACTTCAGGATTTTGTTTGGTATCCAAGAAATCAAAATTTTCTTGAGTTTCTAAGCAGTTTTGGAACCTTGTTTTAATTTCTGCTAAAGAAAATGACGATTTCTTTTCATTGAAAATATGCTTCAGCCGTATTTTCTTTTCAGCATTTAAAATTTCATCATATGACACATTGTAATTGCAGCCACATAAAAGTCTATAATTGCCAAATCGTTTTTCTAAATTATCAGTGGTGAATTTTCCAGGCAATACATACTCAATGTCAAATTGATTAAATGAATATTCAATTATATTAAG